AAAAAAAAAAAAAAAAAAAAAAGAGAGAGAGAGAGAGAGACAGAGATGCTATAGGGGCCAAGGATTTGCAAGCTCAAAGTCCTGAGTTCAATCCCCAGTAACCCCACGGCTAAAAAAAAAGTCATTCATGTTAAAGAAACTGCATATACTCAAACAATGGGCCAGACAGCAGTGATTTCCTATGGTCTGGCTTGTTACCACCTCAACACAAGTGATTGTTATAAACAGGTGAGTATGAGGGCAACTGGGAGCTAATACCTCACTATTTCCTGCTCACCAACTCTGTATAACCAGGCATCTTTAAAGTCCATAAAACTGTTCATCATTTGCACCCGAGGAAGAGTGGGGACCCTGGGGCCACAGTCTCCTTCCCTTGGGATGCACATGGCCATCTTTAATGCACAGGGTTCATCGTCACTGGCTCTAGAATACTTGAGCAGACCACGTCGTGAATGTGTGAACCCTTCCCATGCCTGTCCTAAGGCTCTGATGGTTACCGAAGGGAGTGACTCCAGCTAGATTCCCGAGCACAGCACTCAGGAACTCCACTGTTAGGCCAACGCCTCCCATTCCAGTTAACATCTCCACCACCCAAGCTCTGCGTACCTCATTCCTTCTTCCAGAATAGCTTTCCCCTAAGTAGCTTACACAGTCACCTTAAATGTCACCTCTGTGAGCCACTTCTGGCTTAAGGCAGAATCACTTCTTCCTTCACAGGGACACCCCTTGACAGTAGTTTTTGACTAACATGGTACCTTTTCTTTTTCTTATGTTACCTCCCTGACACATCTGGAGTATGCAATAAATATCCATGGACTGTGAGTACAGTGACTAAGGTCAAGTCAACCTGGTTGATGTGGAAGCTCCCCAGGAGACTGAAGCACACTTCTGCATATTTGTGGGTGGGTCACAGAGGTGTACTCTTGGGGCCCATGTCCAGTCCCTTACTGTTTCCTGTCTGCCACTGTTTCCCTGCTTTGCTTCCTGGCAATTGAACAGCTTTGTTCCTTCACGCCCTTCTGCCAAGATGCTCCTGCCTTGGAGCAGCCGACCATGTACTGAACACCTGAAACCATGAGCCAAGTTAAACCTGCCTTCCTCTAAGTCATGGGTGTTGGGTATCCTATCCCAGCGACAGGAAAGCTCTGCCAGTGAATGAATAAATGTTCTTTTATTCTTTTATTTAATAAACATGTCCCGAGTGCACACTGTATGCTACTGGCTCACAACAACAAGCAAAACCACCATGTCCTTGTAGTGTAGGCTGAATTTTACTTAAGTTTTTTAAAATAAAGATGACTGGGGCTGGGGATTTAAGTCAGTGGCACCAACACCACCTCACAAGTTCAAGGTCCTGAGTTCGATCCCCAGTACTGAGGTTAAAATAATAAAAAAAAGGAAGATGACAATGAGCAAATTTCATGTCCTTATTATTTCATTTTGCAATATTAACATTTAAAAAACTGAATCATTGTTAATTTGTCTAAAATACAAGAAAAATTAAGAATGTAGGCTGGTTCCACCGCCTGCCTCACCAAGCATAAGGTCTTTAGTTCGATCCCTGATACCAAAGAAAAGAATGTGTGCACTGATTCTTAAATCAAAATGCTATCCGTTGTGCTTGCCTGGGCACAAAGTTTATATTCCATTATGCTAAAAAATAAATCATTACATTTCTTGATATCTCAAAGCTTTGAATGAGACTCACCAAAGACCCACTAGACCCATGTGTCTCCTTTACTCTGGAATGCAGACTTTAAGCTTGAGAGATGTCCCTGCAGTCTGACAGTTACACCAAAGCACCTTCCACTGATGGAGATTCAGTCATTCCTCACACATTATTAACCACTTACCGGTCCAATTATTTCAATACTAGGTGAACAAAAATTGCATTTTTTCATTCGTTTTATAACATAACAGGAAATATAAAAATGACAATTTTATCAAATTTATTCAATCCAAGAATTGACTGATTGAAATGACACTTGCCAGAGCATTGGGGACAGTATGTAAACAAACGCGCTGCCTGAGTGACACTTCGGGTAAACTGGTAAGTGGTTAAGTCCTACTCTGACTGATTGGGAAAATTTTTATAAATAGCAAAAGCCTATAAAGTGTTACAATGTAAAATGGCTTCTGCTTTCTCTAACAGCGTTTGCTTTGTTTAGCTTAGAACTAACAGGCACCAAAGGCACTAATTGCTGAATGAGACATTTGGCCTCACCCTGAGATAACAGGGCACATCATGGTCTTGAGCTCCCAAAGAGATTGGAGCCGAAGAGACATGATCTTAAAAGTGTCTAGATGAAACAACCCATTGCTAACATCTGCTTCCCTGACCCTGAACACCCTTTCTATGGACTAGAAGAGGTAACTAGGTGAATCTTAAAGGTAAACTCCTCACCTGCAAAGAACTGTTACATCTGGGTTGAAAAGTTAATCATCTTGTGACTGTGATTTGAACTGTGAGAATGGAATGTAACCACCCAAATGAAGTCAAGGCTGTAAAACCCTATAAAATGAGGAACTGTAACCCAGTGCATCGTTGATCCAGGCACGGCTTATGTGCAATCGACCCCCGTTGATGGAGTAAATTTATTTTACTTCTATTCTGCTGCCTCTGTGTGTATCACTTGCCAATTCCTTCCATAACATGACAAACATTTATTAATTAAGATCCTAACCCTCACAGAATTTACACTCCACTGTCTGGAAGAATAGGCATGGGATAAATATTTGGAAAATGAATTAAATAGATATTCAGATCTAGTCTCTAACCTTTAAGCAGATCAGTCTGCAATCATCCAACAATAAGTTTTGTTTTACAATACTAGTACCCTCACACTGAGCTACAGTCCCAGCCCTACCTGCTTTTAGACAGGGTCTCAATTGTTCAGGCTGAGCTCAAACTTGCAATCCTCCTGCCTCAGCCTCCCACAGTGCTAGGATTACAGGTGTGCACCCCCACATCCAGCTTCAAGTTTTTACTGATTTCCATGAACAATGCTCTGTGCAAAGCAGGCTGACAGGACAGGAGATAAATTTAATGAACTACAAACAGCATCTTTAAAGTGAGGTGACTAGAATCAAATAAAAAATACAGCAATCCATAACAGACACTGATGTCTAATTAAAACTCTAGAAAAAGACTAAATTGTGGTATGCAAAAAACTAAAAAATTGAAAACATTTTTGTCAGCACATTAATCAATGGAGCATCAATTTTAGCATCAAAGGGGCTTTGCTCCATAAAAGCAGATTTTTTTAAACTGTATCCCTCGCACCTACAACAGTGCCAAGCAGTCGTTACATAAATGGATGGATGCTCATATTGTTCAAGACGTCATGTGAGAGACTCGGTAAGATGTAGTTCATCCTGTAATGTCTAGAAATTTCAAATCTAATAGGATAAGACAAAGTTGCAAACAGACCAAAGGCTAATAAAATTGACAAGAGGAAAAATGCCAAAGAAAGTAGTAGCACATCCAAAAGAGGGCGATAAAGAGGCGGTTTATGCCAGAAGCAACTTGAACTGAGTTGTACAAGATGGGAATATTTCAATGGCTAAAGCTGGGTGTGGAAGCGGCTGATGGACAGAGAATGAGCACCTCAGTACAGTTCAAAGACCACAGCAGAAGAGCAACGGTGCTTGATTGAAAAGATAGGGGAAGGGGAATCAGGTTCAGTTCTGAAAGAAGTCAGGCTGAGATGCCCGGACTAAATTCTTTTGGAAGTTCATGAGGAGGGCTCTATTGAAAAGTAAGGAGGAAGAAGGAGACAACCCCCCTATAGTAGAAAAGTTGTGTTGAGACCTGGACTCTGAGGTTTAGGACATTCCGTGACTCTACGTGACCCTGGACAAATAACTCATTCTCTAGCCGTCAGTTAAAATTACAAAAAAACAAAACAAACACAAAAAAATTATTTGGGAAGCAGGTAATAGGCGCTAAGCAGTCACATACACACTGTCAAATACAATTGACATAGGCTGTTGGTTTGGACTGAGCTCCTACACTAAGCTCAACAGATCAAACCAAATTGGAGTTGTTCATGCTCAATTCCATACTCCCAAGCCAAGACTGAGTTGTTTATTCAACCTTAGGAGACATCAGAAAAGAGGTAGAAAACAAGCGAAACAACCCAGTCTTAACTAGCTCTGCTTCAGCCTCTAGCCGGCTTCTTGTCCTTGCTTCTACTTTCCCTAGTCCTTTCTGTCCACAAAGTCAAACTCCTGAACTTAGCTCACGACTGCTTAAATTGAGGTGTTGCCCACTTCCAGAATTCAAACAAAGTCACTTCAGTGCGTTAAACCAGGTTTGCTGTTAGCTTCGTCTTTGACAGTACTCCCCGTGCATTATGTCTGAATTCTCACAACACCCCGGAGAGGCAGGCACTAAGGTCATCAGGGAAAGTTCCAAAAAGTCCTTTCTGAGGCACTGACTCGCAGAGTGACCTTGAGTGAGCCAAGACTCTCCTCCTCTGGCATCGCTTCCTGCCGGCCCGAGGCAACCTCTCGGCGGCCTCCTGCACCCAGCTTGGTCGCTTCGATGCCCTTTCACCCGGGGAACCCCGGCGCAGCCACGAGAGCGTCTCCCCGCGGCAAAGCCAGCCAGCCAGCGGTCGCACAGCCCGCGAATCGCGGGGCCTCTTACCCGGGCATGCACAGTCCCCATGGCTTTCTCTCCAGCCGCTGCCCTGCTGAGCTCCCCGAGCGCGAGTCCACTGAGGCACAGGAACTTGTCAGGGCTACTCCCACAAGCCTCCGGAAGCAGCGGGCTGGGGGCAGCCATGTTGTCCGCACATGTTCCGCCCCCTAGCTCGCGGCGCCTTCTCTCATTGGTCCTTAGGAGTCTGTGACCGGATGTTCACACGGCCCCCGGGAAACCCTGCAGCCGGCGCAAACTCAAAGAGTCCAGTGACGCACTCGGAGCTGCTGGAACGCGAAGGGCGGGTCTGCTTCAGAGTTTGCGCAGCCAGGAGTTTGGCTGGTACCTGCTAGAAGTGAGACTCTCTGTTGACTGCAGCGGGGGATCACACAGGTCTCTCTCGACCCTCCCGGTATCCCTGCCCGCTGAGTGCAGTGTATACCCTCACTCACCGACGGAGCATGCAGAGCCGGGGCCCTGGCTCCTCTGGCTACCCGAACCCTTCCGGTCTTTGCGAGTCCTCGAAATGAAGACGACGGTTGTATCTACTTAACAGGGTTGGATTAGAAGGTCGCCGGGATGAGAGACAAGACTTGGTGGGGCTCCTACGGAGCCCAGGATAAACAACTGGCTCAACTGTATCCAGTGGTTGTGAGGCCACCTGGTGTTTGGCAAGGGGCAGTCACTCCTGTAAAACAGACAGCCCTGGTGTTCACGTTGTGGTGGCATAAACGGGGTACAGTGAAAAAAATGAGGCACCCCCCCACTCCCCGAGAGAGACATCCCAGGAGTGTCCTGCAGGCCACGCCAGAGTCCTCCTACAGGGATTATGAAAATGCATATTGTGGTGGTTGGGTGTAGCTCAGTGGTAGGGACCCATGTGGATGCCAGACAGGCAGGACAGCTTCTCATGTGAGAAGAGTGTGTGGACCAGGCCTGGGGATCAGGCTTTTCAAGGAGCAGGAGCAAGGGCTGCGTTGGGATCCAGCTGTAAGTTAGCTCTGCCTCCAGACAGGTCATAGCCTCTCCGAGAAACCATTTTCTCCACCAAAAAATAATGGGGTGAGGTTACTAAGGACCCTGCCCATTCTGCAAAAGATTTAAAAAATTTGTTTAGATTTTAGTTTAGTTTTACCGTTCTAATTTTAGAATTGGGAAGTTACAGGTCCTGGGAATTGGCAAATTTTAAAAACCACATTGGATCTCCACCTGCCGGGCTATGATGCCAGGCAGATGAGCTCCCACTTAGCAGTTCTGAATATCAGCACCGGCGATGGGCCTGCTGCCCTCCATCATGATTTTCCCCATCCAAACCGTGGCTTTGGGAAAGGTCAGTGCCTCTCTGGGTCCCAGTTTCCTCTTTTGTAGGCTGAAGGAGTTACAGCACTCACCTCATACAATGGCTTTGAGGGTAGGATTAGCTGTCCCCGTAACTATGCACCAGGCCCTGCACAAAGTTTTTAGTCAGTGTTATTTAAGCATCACAGTAAGCTGGGAGCCTTTAATAATGGAGGAAACGGAAACCCAGGGGCAGAGTTACTTGCTTTCAATACCACAGCTTGCAAGTCAGGTGTTACCCTGACCCAGGCATGTCTGACACAGTCCCTCCTACTGATCCCCGTGGGTCTTAGGGACCCGACAGGGGGTCAAGGGAGGTGAGGAGTGCTCAGAAGCCTTCCCATGCTGAGTCCCCTCTTCCAACAATAAAGGAGTGTGTGGGAACCAGCACATAAAACAGTACCAAGATCTGTGTGAAGAAGGGCGCTCAAGATGCTTACTGCTGTTGTCTAGCAGGATCTTTTTGAGCTTTTGCGAGATGGAACCAGGGGCCTCACTGTGGTAGGCAAGAGCCCTGCCTCTGGGCTACACCAAACCCATGTCACTCTGTAGCCAGTTTCACAAGCCAAAGCTCTGCAAGGCCACCTACTTCCTCGGGCTCAGCACCCGCAGGCGGCGCATCTCCTCAGTCCCAAGAGATCTGCCCTTGGCCACCAAGCTGGGGCTTCGGGGCTGGTGCAGCTGAAAGGCTGTTGGTGAGAACATCTCAGCAGAGATTTGCAAAGATGACCTAGAGGGAACACAACTTTCAACACGTCACAGAAGCTGGATACATTTGAAATCGATTCTGCCCGTTTTCTTACCCGTAAAAGGAACCATAGTGATTTTTGTGTGGGGGTGGGTGGCAGGGGGGTTGAGAGAGGGCCATCCTCCTGCCTCAGCCTCCCAAGTGCTGGGATCACAGGCGTGCATCACCACACCTGGCTCAAACCATGGTGATTTTGAAGGCATAACGTTAGAGGGTTTCATGAGGTCAGACATGAGCCTAGCGCCCTGTAGCTGTGGGATAAACTTAATTTTTTTCCTCCAAACAGTCATCTTTTTTGCACGCCCTTTTATCCTTCCTCTCATGAGCACAACATCCTAGAAGATAAGCATGAACTTGCCCGCCCATGCAACACAAGCTAAATATGTGAGAGTCTGTGTGTGCAAGGTCCTTGGCCAGGATGGCAGAGGGCATGTGAGGAACATGGACTCACGTACTCTACCCTCAGATGAACTGCAGGTGGTTGTTTCTGACAATCAGAATGTATAGTGACAGAAAGGCTCTGAAAAGAGCTGCAGTACGTATGCCTGCTGAAACCCAGGGATATTGGGCTAGAGAGACTACCAGGGGTTTGTTGTTTTGTTTTACAGTGCTGGAGATTGAACGAACCCTGAAGTGCTGAGCTACATCCCCAGTGCCCCCTCTTTTCATGGTGAGGCAGGAATGGAGAAGGCTTGGCTTGAACTTGCTATCCTCCTGCCTCGGCTTCATGAGCAGCTGGTACTGCATGTGTACACTGCCATGAACAACCTGTTTTGGTCTGTGGGAGACTTTTCTGTGGCCCCCTGCCACGCTGTCCAGCAGTACTTATGGTCCTCTTTTTGGCTGTTGGTAGAATTGCATTTCCCCACCCTATCCATGAGACTTGCTCATCAACACACTGAGCAGAGGGATATGTGTCACTTGCAGATGGACACCTTTAAGGACGGTCTTCCTTCCACCCTGCCACGGCAGTTGTCAGCGGTCCTTGGACGGCTGGTCCGCTGCAGGCTGAGTCTACTAAGAAAGGCAGCTTAGAGCAGCCAAGTGTGATGGGCGTATAGTGTGAGAAACAGATCTGGGGCTTTTGTAACAGCAAAACCCTGACTGGTAAGAGTCACCTAGTAATATCTGTGAGGCTACCAGCATCCCTGAAACCTTAGTGCCGGGATCCAGAAGTTGAGGCAGGAGGTAGCTAAGGAAACCACTGGAGAAAGAAGGGAGGCCTACGTTGGAGTGTTTTTCTGGGCTACATTCCGAGTTAAAGATTAGCCCAGCACCAGGCTATCCAGGTCTAAATACAACGGGAAAAGCAACCAGCTAACCCAGCTTCTGCAGTTAGCCCCAGGTGTGCACCTGTGGTTTTCCACAACCCTTGCTGAGCTCAGCCCTGATTACCGTGTTGTTGCCTGCACAGATTTGACTCCCGTGGGCTTTGCTGCCACAACAGTTCCTCTGAGGGCCATAGAAGGTTAAAAACTCCACCTCCGGATAGAGGGGTTGCACCACGTCCCTCCCTCAGCAGTTGTCACATCTCTGACCAACTCTTCCAGCCCACTCCAAACCTTAAGCTCAAAACCCTCAGCACCAAGATGCCTTGGAGCCTCAGGCCTTCTCACTGGCCCCCTGTGGAGCATCCTTTCACTCCTCAGTAAATCTTTAATTGCTTCTCCTTCTGGGTATTCTGCCCCATACCTGATGCTCGGGACAAGTCCCGCAATCTGGCAATATTTTCACCAAGTGCAGTTTGGTCCACTTAGAGGTAGAAACACAGTCAGCGATGATACTGGTTCTCTGACAAAATCAGACCCCGAGTCTCATTGGGCCGGAGTGGGGAGGAGGCAGGAATCCCCACTGGTGTCACCCATTTGTTTATTAGTTTGGGACACTCCATGCCACGGGGTGTAAGACCTAGGGCCTTACTTCTACTCCGAGGAGCTTGAACAGCCGAAAGGGCTTCCACGATTCTGGGCCTATAGCTCAGTGATGGCTCCAGGAGCTCGATAGAGCGGCGAATTTTCACCGGATGAAGAACACACCCATTGGAAAAAGACCTTCATTAGTATGGCCGGATGGCACTTCCGGAGCCAAGTAGCTCAGAGAGGCAACTGCTCAGGGGCTGAGGTTGTTTTATAGGGTTTTTTAAACAAAAAAGATCAAACAGAGGTCAGGGCTTTCTCACAACTGCAAGGGAGAGAAACTCCAGATGCCTTTACTCAGTTTACACTTGTCTTCAGAGTCAGTGTTTTTATGTTTACCTTCAACATCCCATCTGTTCCCCGGCAGGCTTATTCATCCAGTTAGCCCTTAGCGCAAGAAGGTTTTTGCAGTTTAAGCACTTGCCCCTGTTGTTTGATAAGCAGGGAGGAAGCACAGTCTCTGGCCCATCAGCAGGGGCCCCTGGGCATCCTTTCTCTCCATCACTCCCGACCTCCGGAGAGGGGAAGCAGGTTAGTGCAGGAGGCTCTGAGCAGCGCACTGGTGCCGAGTGAGGAGCCTCTGTGGGGAGGTGGCCTCCGGGTGACGCAATGGGTCTGATCGGCAAGATGGAGGCTCGGAACTGACACAAGGCCCCAGGAGGAAGCTGTTTCAGCAACCCAGGTCGAAGGGGCAGGGCCTGGCCAGGCAGCGGCAGGTTGGAGGCAAGGCCACATTCCGGAGGGTAAGTGGAGGCACTGCCTGGGCCCCTGCTTCCTGGCACAGCAGGCTGGGGGTTGGGGGCCTCCGAGGAGAGGCCATGTGCCTTCCAGAGGGCAGGCTCACTCAGTCCTGGGGTGAACCTGAGGTTTAGAAGGGGACAGCACGGCAGGAGAGTCTGGTGGCACAGAGGAAGGCGAGCAGTCCCGGGGGGCTGGTCCCCTGCGCCTGGCCAAGGGTGCGTTGCAGCAGGGAGGTCCCCTGGCCAGGGAGGGCCACGCAGGGCCACGCAGGGACAGAGAACATGAACCTAGGGTAGCACTGTGAAGGAGCACGGCTGAGAGAGGAAAGAGCAGCAGTGCCTTGCTCTGGGAAAGAAGGCAGAGTCAGGGAGGTGCGTTGTAAAAATCACATTTATTATGAACCACTTTCTGATGCTGAAAGAAACGTATGTTGTTTAGTACAGACATTTGGAAAAGCCCAACAAACAGAATACCGCTACAAATAATCGCAAAATGGTAAGTGCTAAACACCCCTCCAGTCTCCTTTCTACAAAGACACATTCATACGCACATTAAAATTTTTAAAAGTCGGGCTCATTTTCTGCACCAGGTTTTGTGGTTTCCTGACATTCAATGTCCTGTCCTGAGAGTAGAGTATCACGGCCCAGGGGCACTGTGCACGGATAGAAGGGATCCGCTGAGGGGCTGAGAGGAGGTTCAGGATGTTTCCTGTGCTGACTGGAAACCTGCAGGGGGTGTGGGGCAGCACCTGAGGCACAGGGGCAAAGGGATACCCTGGCCATTTCTCTAAGTACCACACTTCCTTACACAAAAGAAGAGGCAGGAAGTGTAGCTCAGTGGTAGAGCACCTGCCTAGCATGAGGCTCTGGGTTAGAACCCAGCAGTTAAAAAAAAAAAAAGATTTTAGCAGCACACCTGTCAGGCTGAACAGGAGGATTAAGCCCAGCTGGGGCAATGTAGTGAGATTCTCTCTCAAAAGAAATAAAAATAGGGCTGGGGATGTAGTTAAGTTCAAAGACTTTGGGTTCAATCCCCAATTATTTAAAAGAAAAAAAAACCCTAATTATATTCATTAGAAGGACAAAAAAAATTAAAAAGTGGGTAGAAATAAGCCCGGTGTAATCCAGTCAGCCATGGGATGGCTTTCCTGATAAGAATCTAAAGTCTGCCTGTGCTCTAATTAAGTACCGCTCAGGCCGGGTTGAATCTGCCACGCCCAAGGCTGACCCTTCAGGGGCTCCACACAGAAGAAATCCAAGGGAAACTTGGCACCCGGCTGTGCCTCCCGGGTGTCAGACAAGGCCTCTGCCAGCCCACTCCAGCATCCCAGGGCCCACTTCTGGGACAGGTGGTGGAGAGCGTCCCGCGCCCTGGTCCTTCCATCACTTTGGGGGCAGAGCGAGCCCTTATAGGACAGAGGGAAGCTGGGAAGCTCAGTGCACACCCTGAGGGAGGGAGCTTTTCACAGAGAACACGTCAGGTGAGTTTGCCTTGCAACCACACCCCCTCTTCCAGGGCTCATCAAAGTGCCTGCAGCTTGGACCCCAGTGCACTGGCACAGCCAGCGTAGGCCAGAGTTCAACTTTCCAGGGTGGAGGAGTTGAATCGGGTCATTTTCTTTCCTGCTGCTGCACTCAGATGTGCCCCTGCACCTGAGAAGAAGGTAGGTCCCCACCTCAAGCCTGTGTCTCCACTAAGGCTGGCACAGTGGGAGACCACAGTGTGGAGAGATGCAGAGAGAGAAAAGGACTCCGACCGGAAGCCTGCGGAAATTAAGCCAAGTTCACGTCAATGGCTCCCGAAGAAAGAAAGTGAAAGTTTCCATTCTGTTTGGCTCCTGCCCAAAGTGGACCAGGGTGCCTCACCCCGCTCCCCCAGTAGTCGTATCTTAAGGCTTACTCTATGAAGATTTCACAAATTCACAAAATTTTATAATTCAGTGGCTATATTCCCTTGCCTGTTTATGCAAAACTCTTTAGGAAATATTTTAGCTAGGCCAAAAGGGTGCTGTGGGTGTAGATAAATTATCATCTTAATGCCAAGGGCAGGAGGGGCCTCCATGGTGCCGATCATATCCCATGCTCTGCCCTGACGGCTGCCTGAGCAAGTTCACGGCTCATGGTCCCTGCTATGCTCGGCACCGGGCCATCCTTGGTACCGCCCAGCTACGAGCAGGTTGTGAAACACAGCCAGTCATCAGAGCCACCTGGCTTTCTGGTGACATTTTCCAACCATCAGAGCCAACTGATGCCTAAATACCAGAGCAGTGTGAGCACGGACTCCCAACTGCCCATTACCGAACCCACTGCCTTCGGATAAGGGACAGATCGATTCAGCAAAGAGGCTAGGATCCAGAGCTCACATACAGCAGGGCCAGGACAGCTGCACTGAGGTGAGAAGGCTCAGCACCGCCAAGGGTCCCCTGGATGCCTCCTCAAGTGATCCAGAAACCCCCTTCTGGGAAAGCAGGGAAGGCAGGTTCCTCTCCCCAAGGATGCTGCCCAGCAGAGGGGCAGGCTGGACCTAGAATGGGGCGCACCCTCCTGGCCACCCGCAGTCTACAGGCCCGAAGAGCTGCCTTCCGTGGTGCGTGGGGAAGCGTGTTGGCCACTCTCTGGCACCTGGGACCTGAAACAAATGAAGGAGGCTGGCTTGGAGGCCCTTTCCCCAACTCTGGGGACTTCTGTCCCAGCAAGGATAGCCTGGTGTTGTCACGCACACTTGGCATTGCAGGTTCCACCCAGAGCCACAGTGACCTCCTTGCCCCCATCACCTCCAGGGGACATCAGCAGGTGTCACTTATCGTGTCCCTGACAAAACCATTGCCCGCCAGTGTCCCTGGCATCACTGCACCCTAACAAGGCACGGCGGGAAGCCCCATGGTCCCTCGGATTCTGCTGAGCCTGGGCCCCGCTCATCCTGGCCTGGCCCGAGGATCTGCTGCCCACAGCCCCACAGCCACCTGCCCAGGGAACTGGATCCTCACGTTCCCCTACTTGCCCAGTGGCCCGTGTCTGACAATAACGGCAGTGCCAGCCTGGAGGCCCCTGACCTGTCCCCTTCACCCAGTGTGTCCTCCCCTGCTCTGTCACCAGCTCTCTCCTCTCCAACATCCACACTAGGGCCCTGGGACACAGGTGACAGGCAGGCAGCCTGGGTAACAGGTACCACTGGGTGCACAGGGGCCTCTGAGAGGCTTCTGGAGTCCACATGAGGCCCATAGAATGCAGAGGTGCCCGTCAGGCTACATCACTTACCTGGAAGCAGGGAGCAGACAGGTCGTCACACGGGCGTAGACCTGGGATGTCAACCACTGCAGCCACTGGACATCATCAGGGATGTGGGGAAGCCACATCACCAGTCTGCAGGAGCCAAACCAAGACCACCATGGACATGTGCGCTTGTGGACACACGCGCACACACACAGAAATGAAGAAGAGCACAATGAAAGTAAACCCAAAGCAGCCACCTTGCAGTGGCATCCTCGGGCCAGGTGAGTTGCCAGTGACCCTCTCACCCCGATCCAATGCGCTCCCTAGAGACAGATCTGGGGTGGTCCAACAAGACGGAGCCCACCTAGGTCCCTGAAATAAAATGAGGCCATGTGTGGTTCCAGATAGCTCTCAAGGGGCTTCGTGGCTTCATCTTTCTAGGGTCACCTGGCTCCATGTGGAGCATCTGGGTCAGACACCCCACTGATCACAGGCAAAGCCAGCGGGGTGCCCACAGACTCTTCATCCCTAGACACAGGGGGAAACCCTGGGTGCTGAGAGTGGCAGGCAATGGTGGTGTAGGGAAAAGTGGCTGACCCCGGAGGGGTGCAGGTAGAGCCAGGACTCACCATGGGATGTGGGGGGAGAGGGCTGGAGGACATGCTAGATGATGCCCGGGACGACGACGATGATGGTGGTGGTGGTGGTGATTTGCAGCACTGGGGATTGAGCTCAAGGCACATTATTATTGAGCTACATCCCAGCAGCCCATTTTTGGATCCCTTTTTGGGAGATAGGATCTCGCTGAGTTGCCCGGGCTGGCCTCGAACTTGAGATCCCCTTGCCTCAGCCTCTCAGATTGCTGGGCTTACAGGTGTGTGCCTTCATGCCCAGCAATATACTGGATTTACTTACTAAAAAGAAAGTAGAGCCGGGCATGGTGGCATAAACGTGTAATCACAGTACTTGCAGAGTTTAGGCGGGAAGGTCACTGCAAGCTCAAGGCCAGCTTGAGCTACATGGTGAGTTCAAGGCCAGCCTGAACTACTTAGTGAGACCCTGTCTCAAAAACAAAACAAAATGAAGTAAGATAGGTCTGGGATGTGGCTCAGTAGCAGAGTGCTAGCCGCATATACACAAGGCCCTGAATTTCACCTTCAACATCACCAAAACTTTAAAAAAAAAAAGGAAAAAAAAAAAGTCCTGAACAAAGACCCTGTTTCCAGGCCTGACCTTTGTCTCGCCAGTCAGCTCGGTGACCTCAGAGCTCTGACCTCAGCCTCCCTGGGCCTCAGTTTCCCCAGATCATGAGGGCTGCACCAGATGCTGTGTGAGGCCACCGCCCTCTACTTGCCAGTGGCTCTGAGGACTGGCTGCACCTTCAGGGCACCGCCCGGCCCCCACACAGGGCCGCCCAGTGAGCCCCATCCCACCCGTGCACTGAGCTCACCTGCAGACGGTGGCAATGGCAGACTCCACGGGCAGGGTGCAGGGCAGCAGCACGTAGGACAGGATCCTGACGGGCAGCAAGTTGCCCACTTTGCTCAGGAAGCCACCTGGGTCTTTAATTGCTTTGTTCAGGGCTGGAAAGACACGTTGGAGATTTGTTTCCCACCAGCACAAAGTACCAGATCACACCAGGCACGGGGCACAGGCCTGTCACCCCAGCACTCTGAGAGGCTGAGGCAGGAGGATTGCAAGTTTGTGTCCAGCCTGGGCAACTTAGCGGGACTCTATTCGAAAAAAATCTTAAGGTCTGGAGATGCAGCTCAGTGCAAAGGCCTTGGGATCAATGCTCCGCATCGCTTGGGGAACACAGGGTTCCCAGTGAACAGCAAATCTCTTAGACTGACAGATCTGCCTATGCCAGCTGTGCTCATCTTCTTCCTGGAACCCCATCCCCCTTTTTTTCCTTGCAGTGCTGAGTAGGGGTCTGTTTCCCTCCTGGCCAAGACCTGATGGGAAGGGAAGGGAGGCCTGGGAGGTGCAGGGATGGGTGGGCAGGAGCCCTGTGGAGCCCGGCCACTCTGCACCCCCTCTCCCCTCTCCCCACGACAACACCGCCACCCTCCTCCATGACACACAGGATGGAGCCCCACACGCGCCACTTCCGGAACGCGAGCAGCCTCACCCGCAGTGAGTGGGGGCGACAGGGAGTCCAGGATGCGCTCGTCCCAGGGCAGGATGCTGAGGCGCAGGTGCTCCAGCAGCTCCTCACCCTCAGCAGGACCCGGGCCCGGCCCTTCCAGGCAGGCCTCTGTGACGTCGAGTTCTGCCTCTTCCTCCGGGTACTTCAGGCAGGGCTGGGGCCCATGGTAGATGCCTGGAGAGGGGCGGGAAACGTGAAACAGGGGACGTGGGAAGCAGGGTCCTGCTCCCAGCCTCACACCCCCCGGGGACACAGGAGGGAAACCAGCGCTGCCTGTTATTCCCTAGATACCAGGGCTGGGGCTGCAGCAGTGAGGAAGGGTGGGGGCTTTGGAAGCATGCAGAGGTGGGCTCAGCTCCTGCCTGGGGCACTCGGCAGGTGCATGGGCTCCATACCTACATCTGACTCCCGCAGTGGAAGCCAAGAGTTATTACTGATTTACAACGACTGCACCACAGGTCGCACCTGCACTTCAGGCCCTGAGCTGTGGATCTGCCAGGGGCCACTCAACGGCTACCATGTGCACCATCTCCATTTCCCGGCTGGGAAATCGGAGCACAGAGAGGTCCCAGTATTTGGCCAGAGTCACACAGCTGGAACATGCGACGGAGGCACCAGTGGGTTACAGGGAAGCCGTATGGTGCTCAGTGCCCTGCGTGTGTCCTGCTCCCATGTGGGACCTAACCCTGACCCCCACTGGACTGGGCACGACCAGGCAGTGACCCACGTTCGCTCAGGAGAGAGTGCAGGGATTCCTGCACTTTGTCCCTGAGGTGCCCCAGCATCTCCCAGGCCACTCCGGGCTTCTGCTCTGCCACCCCTCACCCTCCCAGCTGCTGCCCCCCTATACAGCCCGGGGAAGCCCTGCCCCCCTATACGGCCCAGGGGTCCACTTCCAGAGTGTTGTGCCCTGCTGAGGTCCCCAGCCAGCGAACACAGCCCATCTCCCTGGCCTCGGGCATCTTCTTTCCAAATCTCCAGGGTCCTTTCCAACTGCCTCTGGGCCCATTTCCATCTGAAACCCTGCCCTGGCCCCAGCCCAAGCCCTGGCTGAGCCCCAGCCGCCTCGCTTGCTCCCTGGATGCTGGTCTTACCTTCTGTTTTTGTTTGCTTTTGAGATAGGCTCTCACAATGTGGCCCATCCTGGCCTCCAATTCCTGGTTCAAGCAGTCCTCCCCCCTCGGGCTCCTCACTGGCTGGGACCAGAGGTGCCCCGTCACAGCCAGCTCCTGCTCTTGCCCTCTGCACTATAGCCAGACAGGCTCTCCTCCTCTGACCACCTCATTTCTGCTCCAGGGTCCTCAGGGGCTCCCTAGTGCTGCAAGATACAAACCCCTCCCCAGGTCCACGGGGCCCAGCCAGCACCATTCCTACCCTCTCTTCTCCACCCCTGCCTGACCACAGGTCCCAGGCTCCAGCTCTCCTGTACTATCACGCTGGCCCTGCTGGCTCACCTCCTCCCCTCATGGTCACACAGCACCCGCCTCTTCTGGTCAGCTCACCTGGTCCTTCCTTCTACTCTCTGCTCCCCCAGGGCAGGACTCCTTGTCCACCAGTGGCCCTGACACACAGCCCCAGCTGGGCATTTAGGAAGGGCACATGGGCACACGTGTGTCCTCTGAACAGTGCATCACCTCGGTCCTGGCCAGACACTAATTCAAAGTACCAACGCATCAGCCAGCCAGAGGCAAACAGTCCCCACACAGCTGGTATCTGGTTCTGCTAGGAGAGCTGCGCATCCCTCGGCCCCCACAGGAGGAGGGAAAGCTTGTCCCTACGTGGTCACCGACCAGCTAAAGTGTCCCTTGGCACCGCAGTCTCATGGGGCCACTGTGGTCTACCCAGCACCCCAGCCACTGCAATGTGACCCAACTCATGGTGCCTTCTGCCCAGTACTGCAGCAGGGAGAGCAGGGAGGCTCAAAAGTGGGCACCGGTCTGGGAAGCTGAATCAACCAGCCCCGCAGTCGAAGCTAGGCCCGGCTGGGCACAGCATCAGACTGCTTCATCTGGAGCTGTCCCAGGACTTGTTTAACTTCCATCCCAGCTAAGAGAAAGCTCCCAAGAGCTCAGAAGAAAGAAAAGCAAAGCAGGGACGCTCTGGTCCAATCCCAGGATCACGGCATCCAGGTCTGTAAAACGGGGCAGAGGAGCAGGGGAGAAAAGACAGGGCAGGAAGGCATTGGGCACAAGGGACAGAAGTAAGGGCTACAGAGTTCCCAAGAAAGCTGGACGGCGGACAGAAGAGCCCAGACCCACCATTCTCCTCCAAGAACCGGAGCGCATCCAGGTAGCCTCGAAGGCAGATCTCCCCCATCACCTGTGAGCAAATCACGCCAGTCACCATGGATGTCAACATCATCGGGGGACACAGGACACCTGAAGGACACCTGGGTACGCCAAGCGCGGCACAGAACAGGGCTCGGGGCTATGCTCAGATGTCTGCCACTAGACTGTGAGTGGGGCCTTGTCTCTCTGGGCTCCCTGGAGTCACCCTAGGAAATGTTGGCACTCACTCTATACATCGGTCACAGGGAGTAACAGCTGCCTCCTCTGCACCTGTGGTGAGCCGAGGAGCAGAAGGGGACACAGTGAGTGCCTTTGTGGGTGTGGGCTTCTCTGTCCTCAGGACAGCACTGGCAGTGGGCATACCCTGCTCTGGTCCTTACGCTGCCTGAGTGGCCAAACACACAGAAACAATGGTCAGGGGTAAGCACCACGTGTGGGGGCTCTTTTTTTGCAGGGGTAGATTTTTGAGACAAGGTCTCACTATGTGGTCCAGGCTGGCCTTGAGCCTTAAACTGGCTAAGTAGCCCAGGTTGAGTTTAAACTTTCCATCCTCCTGGCTTAGCCTCCCAGAATGCTGGTTTTGCTGTGTCCCGCTTCTGACCACAGCTGCAAGTCAGAATCATGTTGGTAACTAAGATAGAAATAAAATTCCTGGGTTGGCTCAGTGGCAGAGAACTTGCTTGGCGCATGTGAAGCTTTGGGTTAGACCCCTAGCACCGCAGTGAAAAACCAATCCCTGGCTCCAGAAGAGCTCGGAGCTTTGGCTCTGTCGGTGTGACCCCAGCTGATATCTAGGAAGGGGCGGCAGTCCCCAAGTTCCCGGGACAAGAGCTTTTCCTGGAGTTAACCACCAATGCCAGGGACAAGGTTTCTCTGTCCAGAAAGCAGCCCGCATCTCCGTGCACGCGGGAGACAGGCACGGCGCCCCACAGCCCCCACTCACCTTGACATTGGAAGGAAAGAAGGACCTGGAGAGGAGGTAGAGGTTCCCCAAACACAGGCGGAAGCTGAGGTTGGTGAAGGTCACGTGAAGGAAGTTGGTAGACTTGACCTTAGGGCAGATGTCGCACTCCCCATAGAAGGGGGACACCGTGATGGTCGTTCGGGTGTCCAGGATGGGTAGGTTGTTGCTCACGCCTCCATCCATGTATCGCTTCAAAGGAGGGGACAAAGGACCGCTATTGTCCACAGCTCTGGGCTAGCAACAGCTTAGGAATCACTCTCTCGACAAATCCTTACCACGCATTCCTATAATGGGAGAGATCTGGCTACACTGGCCTTCAAGGCCGCTGCATACTGTTGTATAGTATGTGTACTGCATAGCAGTGCCAGGCAATGAGGGAGATAGAGGATCAAGGGTACAGCCCATGTTTTTCTGGCTGGGTCCTAAGGCAGGGGTTCAAATCCAGAATTCTCTTGCTCTTGGGAAATCTGGGACAAGATATTTAACCCATGAACCTCTCTGCCTCCATACCTTGGAAAGGAGAACCAACAACTTGAGGGGCTCTTGAGACTAAACCAGTGAACCCGGGACCTAGAAAATGTCCCCCTTTACCGCAGGAGGTAGCTAAGTTATTCTTAGGACCAGTTTACCTATACCTTTCACATCACGGCCCACACCCAATTGGGGCAGGCTGGGTATACCATGGGCAGTTTGCACCTGGTAGCCAGGGTCTAGAACCAGCCCCAGCCCCAGCTGCCATGGCCCTGCTGCCTGGTGCATGGGAGGGAGACCATCAAGAGAACTCTGAGGACTCAGTGGTTCCACCACCTGTCTCAGAAGTACAAGGTCCTGAGTTGGATCCCCAGTACCAAAAAGGAAAAAGAGAGAGCGAGCGAGAGCGAGAGAGAGAGAGACAGGAGAGAGAGAGAGACACTGGCCCCAAGTCCAAAACAGGTCAAGCAGGTGCCTGGCCACAATATCAAGATTTCTATGGTGGACAAAGTAAGACAGCAAAAGCCTCAAGGACATGAAGGGACACGGAATCTAATGTCAGGAATCCTAGCCAGGCGTGGTGGTGCACATCTGTAATCCCAGCATTCGGGGAGACTGAGGCAGAAGGATAGCAAGTTTGAGTCCCACCAGGGAAATTCCGTTAAGACTCTGTTTCAAAATGAAAAATCAAAAGGTCTGGGGGTGTAGCTCAGTGGTAGAGTGCCCCTGGGCTGGATCCCCAGCACCACCAAAAAATAAAAATACAGTCAGTAATCTTCAGAGAAGACTGAATAGGGGTGAACAGGTCAGTCACTTTTCATTTTTTTTTATCCACTTAAGACTTTTTTGGAGGCAGCACTGGGGATGAACCCCAGGGTGTGTGTACCCCATGCGATCGCTCTGCCATGAGCCAAGTCCCAGCCCTGCAGCTTTTCTATAGCGGTGTTTTAAGCTTACTCAGGCAGAGGCTGGGTGGGAAGAGACCTAGTTTCCAAGAGGGCATCGAGGGTGACTGGACCTCTGCTGCATCTGCTGACCGAGCGATCATCCTATCCCTGGCTGTGTCCCTGGGCCAGACACCTTCCCCAAGTCCCAGGCCAGGTTCAGTGCTAAGCACGTCATGTGCGCTCCTCAGGAAGGAGGGCCCAGCACCCTGCCATCGTGTGGCGGAGCAGAGGGTCAGGTCCAGCTCCATGTCGGGGCGACCACTTCATGGCTTTGGATTTTAATTTTCCATGCCACCAACAGCATGGGGCCAACATCCAAAACCTAGCTGTGCTTAGGTCACTCACTCCCCATTCCCAGAACACAAGCGCATAGGCGTCCTGCCTGGGGAGGGCAGCAGAGAGCAGCAGCAGCCTCCTTTCAGCTGTGGGCACCCAAGAGGGTGGCACAGGTGGCTCCTACCTGTGACTCCCTTTCCCCTGCTGCTGGCCGATTTCATGAGTTACTCTATGACTCAAAAATGACCTTAAGGGCTGGGGATGTAGCTCAGTGGCATTGTGCCTGCCTGGCAAGTGCTAGGTCCTGAGTTCCATCCCCGGTACACACACACACACACACAACAACAAAAAACAACACCTTAAAAGGCAAGGCTTGCACAGCCCAGCTGGGCTTATGCATTGCAAAGCAGCAAAAGTTTTTATTTAGTCTTAATGGTAATAAAACATTATGTCTATTTATAAATAAAATAAAATAAAATAAAGCAAAGACCTGTGTAAGGCCAGACACACAAAGTTTCATTGCAGTTGGGAAACACTTAACTTACAGCTCCCCCTAAAACTGAAGGGCTACCTTAGAAGAATAAGGAATTCCTAAACACCTTGAACTGGGCGCTGGGAAGCTAGCTGCTGAGAGTTCGGGAAGATTAAGTGAACCAGCAGGTGTACCTTACAGGTGGGTTATCAACCGCACAGCAAGCGAGTTTTGCTACCCAGACCACCCAGAAGCTGGCCCAGCTATGGTTCCATCTGCAAGGCTGAGAGCAACCAGGCTCACATAGCCCAGGGGTGCCTGGACCTCCCACCTTGCAGGTGGAAGCAGGCTGCTAGCTACACTTCAAAGAGGCCGACCCCGCTCAGCTCCAGCGGCCACCAAGGTGCACTTACCACACCCCTGAAGGTTGGAGGGATGATGCCGCTGAAGAAAGGGATGAAGCAAGAACACAGCAAAGCCTGGGGAGACAAAAGGAAGTGAGGCCGCAGGCCACGCCCGTCTTCTGACTTCCCAGCTTCCTCAAATGATCTGGGAGCCAAACGGAAATACTCTCAGCACACAGTAGGTGCGTTTATATGCAGGTAGAGTGGACCACAAGCCAACTTTCGCACGTACCCTGGGCCCATGAGCAGCACAAGCTCCTCGGCCTCACAGCACACTTTCCTGCTCCCCGGGGCAGTACCCTACTTGCCAACACCTCAATACCCAGAGGAGCAAATGGCTTACATCCACAACTTCCTCTTTGGACCGAAACTCAGACACCAGCACGTTCTCCCTGTCGGACACTCTGGTGAGCGAGATGCAGATTTTGCCAGAGACGAGCTGGTGCACATTGTCGGGGAGGATCTCCTCCAGGCCGTCTCGCAAGCATTTGCCCAGATTGAAGGATGGATGCAGGGTGCTCATCCTCCGAGCTGTGGCCTTGCGGACCAGGTCCATGAGCATCTGCAGAGCCAGGTCTGGGGACCAGAGACAAACACACAAAAGAAAACACCACCATGAGACGAGGGATGCTTTTTGGCAAGATCAGAAACCAGGAGGCTGCGCACCTTCTTCTGGACCTCTGTCTATGAATGCAGTAAGTAGCTGGCTGCAGCCCGGGAGCCCTTGAGATGGGACTAGTCTGCCTGGAACTGCGTAAAATACACCCCAAACTTCAGACGCTTCGTAGAAAACAGCTCATCAACAATGGCTTTTTTTTTGTTGTTTTTGTTTTTTGGTACTAGGGATTGAACTCGGGTCCTTGCACTTGCAAGGCAGGCCACCGAACAATGGCTTTTATTGATTAGATGTGAAAATAATATTGGGGGCAGAGTGGACTCTACGCAACGAATGTCACCTGTGTGTCTGACTTGCCGACACAGCAACAAGGAAATGGAGGATGCCGTACGTGGCTTGTGGTATATTTTCATTGGCCTCCACTCCAGCACCCTGTCTGTGCATCCACAAAGCCAGGAACACGGCGGCATCTCAGCTTTGGCACAGACGGTCTCGCCGTTACGGGGCGGTAGAGAAAGAATGCACGCTTGGACCTGAGTGTGTCGTGCAGGTTAAGGTTACCCACGTTTTGGAGGCAGAGAAGATGAGGCAACATGTAATCTGTAAGGCACTCCACACAGAAGAGGCCGCCAACAAGTAACTGTCTGCACCCCGAGTCCCTGATGCCAGACTTAACCAAACAGTGTCGTAAGCACTGGGCACCGGTCCAGCCCAACCCTGGCACACAGGCCCGCTTCTCCCTGCCCCAGGCCTGGCCGTCCATCCATCCTGGGCTGCACAAGGACAGACATGTCCCCAGACCGTCCTGATCTCACTCTGACCTGGTTCCCAGCTGCTCCTGCCCACCTGCTCATCTTGCACCTGCTCTCAGATTCTGCCGTGTTTTCCGCTAGGCCCAGTCTCTGCTGAGATTCCCTCAGGACCCGTGCCCACATCAAAGCCCCTGGGAAATGTAGGAACCCACAGCCTCTGGAGCAACACAGGGAGTGGGTCCTGCTGCTGACACCTTCAATTCCCTTTCCTGGGCCTTGGTGGCCCCTGTGTCTCCCCAAGTCCTGCCAGGTACACCCTCAGGCTGCACTTGCCCTCTGCCTACTTAGGAAGCCCCTCTCCAGAGGAGTTGGTGTTCTTCAGGCTCAGGGCTTTGTCCCAACTCCGCACCTGTCCATATGGTGCCTGGAGGCCACCCCAGGACACAAGAGCGGGCTTTTATCATTGCGAAAGCCCAGGGTGTACAGACAGCCAGTCTAATCCTCCCAGAGGAGACAAGTTCTGCCCTTTGCTCCTCTCTCCCTCTCTGGGGAAGACAGCCGGGCAGGCAACCTGCCAGGGCAGTCTCTCTCCTAATCCCAAATCCGGTCAGGCCAGGGTGTGCTCACCGATCCTACCCAATGACAGCTTTGCTGACAGCAGAGGCTTCCCCACTACTGCCAAAGTCACTCCCTGCTGGCTCGGCAGGCCTGCAAACAGTAAACAGCAGAAGAAGCCCAGGTAAACAGAGACTGATAAGGGGCATTATCATCCTGCCGGGGCACCTTTGGGTGTCACCAGCTCCCTGTTGCCACTGAGGGCTGGCTCAGAACCCCTGGGCTATAGCACCTAGGTCCCTGGGAAAGATGCCACACTCTGGTAGTTTGGGTAAGGGAGAAAGACTCTATCTCCTCCCTTCTCCACCACACAGACAACTGTTTAATTAGGCCAAGAATCAAATGTCCAGGTGTCATTGTCAGGGACACCGAGCTGGGCAGGTGAGGGCTGGCCCAGGTCAGTGAAGGCTGGAGGAGAGGTCCAAGGGTCCATTCCAGCCCCCAGGGAGGGTCCCAAACACCAGAGAAGGAGGAAAGAGGGAAACAATCATCCTGTTTAGCATCATTCCCTTTCAGTGGCCTGCCTTGGAGGTCACCGAGCCAGGCTGGAGGATTCCAAGTCTGTGCACGGCCTGGGCAATTTAGAGACTTAGCAAGACCCTGTCTCAAAACGACAAATTTAAAATAAAAAACATAAAAGGGGGTGGATGGGGTGAGGATGTAGTTTGGTGTGAAGGTGTTGGATCCTATCCCCAGTACCACACACACACACACACACACACACACACACCCCAGCTCCTACTTCAGTTTCTGGTTCAGCAGAAGCCAAGGCCCCGCTCTAGGTCACACCCAGGGCCAGGGTGCAGGAGGAGCTCAGAACGCTGGGGGCAACACCACCTTGCGCTCCCCCACCCCAGGGTCCTGCTCCCTCCTCCCCGTCACTCTGGGGTGACCCGGCTCTGTCCTGGGGTTGGGGGCTCCCTTCAAGGGAGGGGTCCCCGTGGGTAGGGAGGCGCAGGACGTCCCCGACTCCAGAAGTCCCGCTCCCGCCTGAGCATCCGAGAGTTCCCGTGCCTTCCAGGGCCCTGCAAAGGCGACATCAGTCTGAAAGGGGACCTGCAGCGTGCAGCCGGGGTGCGTGTGCCACACCGACGGGGTCCCCAGCACTCCTGGCCGGGACTCACCGATCGAGACTCCTGCCAGGAAGGTGACCCCGTGCAGCGCCCCGGCCGAGCAGCCGAAGAACATGCGTGCGTCGTGCAGGAGGTGCGGGGCGCGCTCGCTCAGGCAGCGGGTCGCCCCCACGTAGTAGAAGCCCAGGAAGCCGCAGCCCGAGAAGGACAAGCTCCAGCCGCGCTCGGGGTCGTACATGGTCGAGAGGGCGGGGTGGGAGCCGGAGCACAGACTGGCACTCGCGGGCGTAGACTGCTTGGTAGCGCAGGGGCAGCCACCCAGGCATCCCCTGCGTTACGTCACCACCGGCCCCGCCCCTCCGGTCATGCAAATGAGCCTGCAAAAGGACCAATGGGTGGGCTAGGCGCCCGCCCCGCCCTTCTTCCCGCTAATAGGCGGGGCCGAGGATCACCCAACCCGAGAAGGAGGCATTTTCTCCAAAAACTTGGGATGGAAGGATGTTGGCGAGGGCACACTCCTCCTCCTCCTCCTCTTCTTTTTTTTTTTTTTTTAACTGCAGCTTGAACCCAGGACCCTCCCACTGAGGTACGGGTCCAGCCCTTTTTAAAATTCTGGGAAAGGTCTCCCTAAATCGGGCTAGAACTCGCCATCTTCCCGCTTCGACCTCCCAGGCGTGCACCATCACACTCGGCTGCCTTTTTCTGTTTCTTTTCATTCAAGTCCAGGAGAAACTCACAGATGGAGCCAACATATGTCCTTAACATCCCTCTGACATTTTCTTTTCTTTTTTTCTTGAGGGGGAGGGGATTTGAGACGGGGTCTTGCTATGTATCCCGGGCTGGCCTCGAACTTGTGCTCTTCCTGACTCAGCCTCCTGAGTGCAGGAGTTACAGACATGAGCCAACACCCCCAGGTCCCTTTAACCCTTTCCCATTTCCTTTTCTACCAGGCCAGCCAGCATAAATCAGGCCCCATCCCCATCACATGAACAATTTAATGCAGTATCTTTGCTCTCTTTTCTTGCAGTTTTTGTTTGTTTGGAAGAATTATCTTTGATTCACGGTAAGTGACAGGGATTTTTCACATAACGACAGTGGCAGGAAGTTCCCCTGTGGAAGTAAGTGTCATTTATACTAAGTACAAGCCCTGACTGATAGATGCTGGGCAGGGGGAAGGGCAGTGCTGGGTTGGGGGTTGGGGAAACTGAGGCCTGATGATTTCGCTGCCCTCTCTGGCCTGCATCCAGGATGCTACAACAAAATAACACTGACCACATGGTTTATGAACAGCACATTCCCACGGACATTCTGGGCATATTCTGTCTGGTGAGGGGTTATATTTTCTCCTACAACACAATGATTTGGCACTGGCTAATTTTCAGTAAATGTGGTGACTTTATTGTTTGGGGGTTTTTTTAGACCTGGTCTTGCTGTGCACCTTAGGGTGACCTCAAAATTACAGGGATCCTCCTGCCTCAGCCTCCAGAGTGTTGTGATTACAGGTGTACCATGGCTCCATATGCTGACCCTATAGTGTGCAACTGTAGATAGCTAAATTAGTTAGAAATTACTAGAAGGCAGTTAAACAAAGCTGAGCCCACCGCATAGAGAAACAATTGAGGCACATTCACTGGTTAGGATTATGAAAGGAGAGAAAACTACTACACCTGTGTACTTCCCCTAGGCTGAATAGCAATGATTAATATCAATCACCTGGTATTAATAGGTATCAATCACCTGGGTGAGGGAGCCAAGACCTTAACCCAACCCTTCTAGGAAAGGCCCCTGACCCATCCCTTACTGAAATTCTTGCTACAGGATTAGCTTCCCCATTGGATCATCATTTAATCAATATTACCTATGGGACTATACTTGGCATAATCTTATTGGTTGATCACAGTTTTGTCCCGCCTTATGATTTTCCATTGGATCAATATTACTTAAGCGACTGTACTTGTAATCTTACTACTTGACTATAGTTTTGTCCCACCTTGACCCCCACTTTGTGGCTTTGATCCATAAGAACCCCCGGGGAAATAGGATCCAGGAGCAACCCATTTTCCAACCCCTCTTTTGTCTCTCTTAAACAGAAACTATCTTTCTCTCAATATGTTTTTCCTACTCTTAACCTCTGTTGTTCCTAGAATTCATTCTTTGATTTTAGAGAACACGAACTCATGGTTTGGATATCTAGCAGGTTGGGAGTTACATCTCTTCCCCCCTATCGATAGGCATTGACCATCACACCCAGGTTTGGAGGGGCTGTAGGTAGGCACTGTGAACACCAGGGGTAGCGTTAACCCTAGGGGCTAGAAACACCAACCTTGGCCACACTGAGTCTAGAGGGGGTGAGAGGGGAGCCTGCTCCCTCCTCCCTGCTTTGCTGGCCATGTGAGCACCAGCATCCTTCACCTGGTTACCTGCACCCTGGGCCTAGCAATCTCTGGGAGCCTCAGCTTCTCCGCCAACCACCAGATGTCCAGGCATAGGTTGGTCCGAGCTCTTGGAACACCTTGCTGGGCATTTCCATCCTCACTTCTGGCCTCAGGCCTCATTCCAGGCTCCAGTTAGAGCCTGCGCTTGGCCCAGAGTTCCCGCTCTGGCAGAAACTCACTATCCTATTGTATTTATTTTTACGTGTGTGTGTGTGTGTGTGTGTGTGTGTGTGTGCGCGCGCGTGTGCGCTCACGTGTGGGCTTTTGAACCCAGGGCCTTTGCACTGAGCTACATCCCCAGCCCTTTTCTCATTTTAAATTTTGAGACAGGGTCTTGCTAAGTCACTAAACTGCCCCAGCTGAGCTCAAACTTGCCCCCCTCCTGACTCAGCCTCCCACAGTGCTGGGATTACAGGCATGCACCACTACACCTGGCTGTTTTTTTTTTTTAATTGTAATAAAATATAATCTTGCATGAGATTTAACCATTTTTTAAACATCCATCTCAGTTGCACTAGGTTCATTCTGGTTGTTCTGAAGACATTGTTGCCACCCATCTCTAGAATTTTTTTTAATCTTTCCAAACTAAAACTCTGTGCCACTAGCTCCCCACTCCCGCAGCCCACACTGCCATCTTTGTTTCTGTGACTGTGACTAACCCATGCGCCTCACAGAAGTGGACGGTATTTACCTTTTTTGCCTGGAGTGTTTCACTTAGCATAATGTCTGGAGGTTCATCTATGTTATAGCAAGTGTCAGGATGTCTGTTTTTCTTCTTCTCCTCTTCCTTTTTTAGAGGGGGATCTCCCTAAATCGCCCAGGCTGGCCTCAAAGTCGAGATCCTCCTGCCTCAGGCTCCTGAGCAGCTAGGATTTACCGATATGCTCCACCACACCCAGCTGCTTTCCTTTTAAAGACTGAATAATGTCCCATTTGTGATGATTAAACTTGTCAGTTTCTTGGATCGAGGGACCGGGAGGGAATTTTAAAGCACGCATAGGGTGCGTGCAGGTGAGGCTGACGTGAGGGCATGTACAGAGATGATTGGCAGGTGAGACAGCAAACTGAGTGGGGCCACGCCCAGAACATGGGCAGCAGCACCATCCAATAGGATGGAGGCCTGAGTGGGCCCAAACAACAACAACAACAACAACAAAAAACAGACTAAGCCTGGGGCTACAGCACACCGCATTCTCTCTTCCTCACTCTCCTTCCACGTGGTCGTCTGCCTCACCAGGACTGGAAACCCTGAAGCTAGTTGCCTCAGGGCTGAAACTTCTGAAACCGGGAGATGGATCCCCGTGGGTTTGCCCTGTCTCCAAAACAAGACCAGGGAGTCGTGCATCCAAAGCAGGTGCCTCCCGAAGTTCCCTGGTTCTTGGAAGCAGAACACAGCGCCGGAAAACATGAGGACTGGAAGGCTCATTCACCAAGCCAGGGAGAAGCCAGAGGGGCTCCCCGCGACAGAATGGAGGTCGCAGGGTAGTGACAGCGTCCTCCTGTTACTGCAGATAGGTACGTTAATTAGATATCTTGTAGGCATTGAGACAGGGTCTCCCTCAAGGAGCCAACGAAGCAAGGAGCCAACTGGAGGACAATAAAGACACATTCACTGTGGCCAGAATTGTAAAAGGAGAGAAAGTACTATACCCTGGTACTTCCCCTGGGATAAAGAGCAGTGATTTATATTTTTAAAAGGTGTCAGTCACCGGGGTGGGGGCCAAGGTCTTAACCCAGCCTTTCCAGGAAATGTCCCTTACTAAAAATCCTTGGAAGCTTGCTACACGACTTGCTTCCCCATTTGATCCCCACTTAATCAATATTACTTGGGTGACTGTACTTGTCATCTTACTGATTGGTCATGGTTTTGCACCACCTCACGCCCACCTTGTAATTTTCCACTGGGTCTTACAGTTTTATCCCACTTTGTATCCTCCTCACTTTGCTGTATAAAACATGTTTGAGAAGTGGGGTGGGCGGGCAACACACTTTTCAGTCCCCCTTCTGTCTCTTATTTTTTTGGTTTTTGTTTGTTTTGTGAGACAGGGTCTCACTATGTAGTTGAGACTGACCTGGAACTCATTATGTAGCCCAGGGTGGTCTCAAACTCACAGCGATCCTCCTGCCTCAGCCTCCCGAGTGCTGGGATTACAGGCGTGCGTCACCACACCCTCCCTTCTGTCTCTTAATAAATAAAATTTCTTTCTTTCTCTCAATAAAATTTTCTTAACCTACATTGTTCCTGGAATTAATTCTTTGATTTTGGAGAACATGAACTTGCATTTAGGATATCTAGCAAGTTTGGGAGTTACATCTCTTTTCTTCCATCACTGTGGCCTGTTCTCCTGAGAGGGCCCATGGGCTAGGGATTTAGCTCAGTGATTCTGGTGCCTGCCTCAAAAGTGCAAGGACCTGAGTTTGATCCCAGGTACAAAAAAAAAAAAAAAAAAAAAAAAAAAAAAATTCTGCTGAGAGGGTCCTGCATCTTTGGTCCCCATCAGGATACATCGTGCCGATGTTGCCCTTGGACCAGTGCAGGTGATGTGGCCACAGCTGGCCAAGGTAGACTCAGCTCTGTCCCTGGTGTGATGAGAGCCGCATCTAGGTAACCAGCCAGAGCACTGCTAGAGGGGACACCCACCAGTCGGCACACCCACAGCCAATGTTACACATCCTCTGTGACTACTCTGGAGCCTCCCAGCAGCCTGGTCTCAGTCTTGGCCTGTGGAGACAGCAGCGTGGAGAGGCCGGAAGAGGTCAGAGAGAATGCCATGCAGATGGTCCTCTGATGGGAGCAGGTCTACATAATTTTGGGGAAAAACCATTTCACAATTAAAATCATGATTAGACTTAGTTTTCTTGCCCATAGGCCAGCTATGGCACACAGAGACGTAGCTCCATT